AACTTGGAGTCCTTGTCCTTGCGGTTGCGCTCAAGGTGCTTGCGGACGGCAACAGCCTGTATCACCCAATTGGTTAGCTATTCACCCGCGTCTTCCTCCGAACAGATAGAGACGACCGTCTCCGGCGCCAACGGCTTACCTTCTTGATGAGCATGTAAAGGTCCTCAGGGATATCGGGAGCGAGGCCTGTTCATCATATCTCTCTGTCAGCCTAGACCAAGCAGAGGCGCATTAAATGCAGTAAAGAGGATTGCTCCTCGCGGACAGTTTTGATAATCTTTCGACATCGAAGTCGCCGCTTGGTGTGTTCATATAACTGGGATCGTACCGCTGGACTTAAGGATGCGAAGGATACGGTTGCCTGTAGTGAGCGAAAATAGTCAGTTGCGGAATTCTCCTTCTTTTGTGATTCTCCTGCAGAGACTTTGGGAGATTTCGATTTCGACATACCGGTGACAACGCGGACCTGGGCAACGCCGTGGGAGTCACGGAGAATGACACCGATCTGGGAAGGGGTAGCGCCCTTCTTGGCCAGCTTGCAGATCTGGTCAACGACCTGCTCGGGGGTGGTCTTGAGCCACGAAGGGGGGTTGCGGCTGTAGGGAATCGCCGAGGCGGAGATACCCTTTCCCTTGGAGTGAAGACGGCCCATTTTGACGGTGGTTTGTGGTGTTGTCGGCTGGAGTCGAGGGGGTCAGTCGGTCGGTCGCTGGTCGGATTTGAAAAGGGAAGGGAAAAAAGTTCACGATCAATTGCGATATGTTTGAGCGGGCTGCCGGTCGGCGTGGACGGGGTGGATTGTGCGGGCGGGAGAACCTCGCTTAATTAGGGCAGCTGCTTGAGTGCAGTGCTCCTTCCTCCTGCTGGGCCCAGCTGGCTTCAACGACGAGCTCGCAGCCTACCATCCTTGTCCCGTCTGGGCTTGGTCTGGAAAATTTTGGAGGACCCGCTACTGGGCCGGATTTACGGGGCCAAGCAGCCTCACCTTGGTCCGTGCACTCTTTTGCTTACCTCAAGCTTCGTGAGCTCAAGATTTTTCTTCTTGCTCCCTCAATCTCAACTCTTTGAGAGATGGACAGATCAGATACATCGCCGCTGAGTGCTGCTTCGCGGTGCCTCTCTACATCCTTCCCCCCAGGTAAGAATCGCTCACGTATGCTCCTCGTTTACCCCCTATGCATCAAATGATGATCCTCCATTATTACTTTTTTCTGGTACCTCTTATTTTAAAGTCTTCGGGCTTAATGAATGAACAGGACTTCTGATACTGCACCTTTTCTCTCTCAATTTCAATCATTCGAATTCTGAACGGAAAGCTAACAAGCTGTAAAGGTCTACACTTGGAACAGATTCTGGTCTTCATTGACGCCTCAAGTGAAGCGCATCAGAATATCATACACACAGAGTCAACCTTGATAACGCGTAACCCCTGGATAGATAGCAAATCAAAACATGAGCAAAAGAATGGTTCCAACTCCTGTGACTCGAAGTGACTGAAGAACGCTGTAGGCCTAGACGTTTTGGAGTCGAAAATAACACAACCTCTGAACTTCGACACCTACCAAACATATGGAAGTGTTCCATTGATGCAAATACAATTACGCAGGTATAATCAACGCCTTTAACCATGGTTTTCAGTCGAAAGTTTTTATAGAACACCCCTAATTTTCCTCCACCGCGCCGGCTTGAAGCCGCCACAAGTCATCTGCAATTTTGCGACTTGGTGGGTGCTCCCGTCCCTGTCGCCTGAGGCCCGCATCGCGGAATTATGATACAGCATTTTCGATGGTTACAAGGCTGTCAGAATATGATCGGCCTAAATTTCCCTTTTCCGCCGAGCCTTGCCTTTTTGGTGATGTTATCTCGCTGTTCCTTGTGCCCAATGTGAAAATGGTTACCAGGCACCGACTTCGAAGTTTTCCTGCAGCAGAGTCAGTAATTGTCTCGCAATGCCATCCTGGGGCTCTTCTTACCTCGGGGAAGTAGGTGGTAACAACAGTACGATCCGCAAACTTGCGTCCTGCGAGTGCTTGGAGCGCTTTCTTGGATGACTCCTTGGTCTCGAACTTGACGAAAATCTTGCCAACACCAGCAGATTGTCTGCTGCCTCCCACGGGACGAGGAATCTTGATATCCAGCACGTTACCAAACTTTGCACACTCTTCCTGAACGTCCTCTTTGATTTCTGCAGACTGTCAGTATGTGTGCACAAGACCAGAACTAGATGTTGACGCCTACCCTCATAATCGTCAGGGTCCATCAACTCCTCTGGAGTAACCATGTTCAGAAGTTGCAGAACACGGGTTTCCTCAGAGTCAGTTGAGGTCGTTCCAGCCAGCATAGACATAGCTGCAACTCCCATTTCCACCCCAGCAACTTGAGTTACGCCGACACTGGCCTTCTGAACCTTGAGCTTCTTGTCTCCAAGATCCATACCGTTGAGGCCTTGAATGGCGACGTCCGTAGCTGCTGGATCAACGTACTCGCAGAAAGCAATTCCCTGCAAGGATAGTTAGTATGGTACGTATGATGGCCAAATGCGACTCAGCTTACCCGAGACTCTTCTGTGCTTCTATCACGAACAAGCACAAACGCCTTGAGCTCGCCAAACGATACCAAAAGCTCCGATACTTGCTCGTCTGACAGGTAAGGAGGCATGTTCACAACGCTAATCTTGTTAGGGGTGTCGATCACCGTGTTGGAAACGACACCCGGCTCATATGGGACGTCGTCAACCACCGCGGGAACGATGTAATCCTTCGGGCGACGAATCACAAGGCCTTGGCTACCGGCGGCGCCATTCGTGGCATCGTCGGCCTCCATCGAAATGCCATCGAGAGCGAGGGCTACGGTGGCCTCGGAAGCGTTTCTGAACTCAACTACGGCGAAGGAGTTGTCCTTCGAAACTTGGCAGCTGGTGCAGGGGTCGGTGCTCTCAATGATGTTAAGGCCGTTCAGCTGCAAATTGAAGAAGTTCTGGAGGGTTTCTTCGGTTGTGGATGGGGGAAGGTTGTTGATGAGCAGACGCTTGGCCTGGCGCGAGTTGCTCGGCTTCAGCGCAGCGCTGTTAACTTGGCCACCTGGCTGGTTCATGATGGCTTGAAGCTTGCTGGGATCCATGGGTTGCTGGCGAGGAGCCCCGGGCAGAGGGAACATGCCTGACAGCTTGGCTTGTTCAGCAGTGACATTCTCATAGCCGGGGGGTTTGATATCCCACTGAGTCAAACGTCGCTTGCGCTCCAATACTGATGTGATGTTTGTCAGATCAGGTGTAGGCTCTCTCTTCTTGGGAGGTGGCGTCGCGCTGCGTTGGCGTTGCTGTTGTTGTTCACGGCGGCCAAATCCGGCATCCTCATTTCTGTCTCGTCCGCCTCGGCGTCGGTCGTCGTACGGGTCGCGATCTCTCCGCGGGCGATCGTCGTCGTCTCTTCTGGCATCGCGTCTGGAGGATCCGCGGTCGCGATCCCACTCTCGATCTCCACCGCGCCTCTCGCGCCCAGAGTATCTATCCTCACGCTCACGCTCACGATGGCTGCGACTTGTCGCGTAACTGTCCTCATCCTCGCGACGTCTGGAGCTTCGGTCGTAGGGGGAACGGGAACGTCTTCGGTCTCTGTGTCTGTCTCTATCGCCACCGCGTCTATCATCGCGCTCTCTCTGTATCAAGCGTCAGCTTTGGGTGCAGGTACTTCATCATGACTGATGGACACATACCGGATAGTCGCGAGATCCCTTTCCTCGACCTTTTCCCCCAAAAGGCGTTTGTTAGACACAGAGGCACCGGTACAGACGGGTCTGTTAGACATCGTGCAGACTTACCACGGGAATAGCCGTCGCCGTTCATGATTGCGATTGCACGTGGCGTGTTAAGGCTAATCGTAAATGATGGTCAACCCAGGCTAGAGAAGGCAATTGGCGATGGAGTTGAAGATTGCCGCGTGAGGCAGAGGCGCAGTCGTCCAGTCCACAGGCGCGAGGCTGGAACTTTTTTCCCTGAAGAGGTCAAGCTCTGAAACTGTACTATGATTGGCCAAGAGCTTTGATCAAAGTGGATCTGTCCAGACCTCTGGGCCCGCTTGAGGTGCTTCCTTCCGCGCTAAGGTGATCCCTGGTCGAAGTGCGTTAGTCAGCAGATACTATCCAGTATCAACAGCCTCGGACACTGGTGATTTCTTTTCGTCGATTTTGATCTTCAGGATGTAACATGATCTGGCCTGGATATTCTCAGAGGATTAGACTATTGGTCTCAGTACGTTTCAAAATATCTCCTTTCTAGACACCGCTCCGCGCATACTGCATCTACTTCCGAGATTCATCTCCGCAGATGACCTGGATCTTATCAGTCGCTATCAACTCCTGATGGAAATCGACTCCTGAGAGCGAATCCACTCGATCGTTTTTCTTCGACGTCTGCTTCTCTTCATGGGAAGCCTGCTCACCAACCTCCTGACTCGCTTCTTCCGCTCTCATTGCCCACGCCTGGTGTAAGAGTTAATGAAGAAGCAACCACCATTTAACCATTGCATTACCTTCAAATTTCTTCTCGAAGATTCACTGCGCATGCGACTGATCTCAAACTTTGCTACCTCCGGTCCCTACGCACCCAAGTTGCGCGTACCAAAGAGTCTCGGAATACCGTCAGCCGCTGCGCGTCAGGGAGCTGGTCTGTGCGGCAGCTGTGCTCTCGCCCAAGCAAAGTCCTTTACGCGCTTTGCCTCCAACAGCTTCTATGTCAAGGAGCCAGAAACTAAGGCATGGCTTTGGTATCGAATTTGCTATCAGTCACGGACATGGTTTGTTGAAATCGGGAAGCTCTTTTGGAAATATGCTTCACCGTGCCGAGCCCAGCGTTACTAGGGTTTCTCACAGTGAGATGACCCCAACCATGCGAGTTCTCCATCTCGACACTCCTCAAGTATAGACTCAGTCAAAAGTTTGTTCTTCAGCTTGGTGTCTGCTTCCAGGCTTCATAACACGGCTCAGCCATGCAGTCAGCAATTTCAAACATCACAAGCCACCACTTCTGATTTTGAGTCTGGTTGTCCCGCACCTCGGCTCGCGGCTTTCACCTTGGACATCGTGTTAGTGTCTATGGAAGACACCCGCTCAAAGAGAATCCGAAACCAAGGGAGGATGGCCAGCTGTTCTTCCAAACATTGTCTCGTTCTCAGCCCTGGATGTGTTCCCCAGAGCCCGATGCTCGCCGCTAGTGCAACACTAGGACCCTGACAATGTCTTAGCGCCTGCATTGTCCGGACACAACTCGTCTTAATCGGTACGTCAGTTGTGTCTTCGGTCTCTTTCCAGGATAAATCTTGCTGTATCACCGCAGCAAAGCCGTTTGACTGGTAGTCTTTGAGATGGGCGCTGCACCAAGTTTCATCGACAGTCAAGGGATATTGGTATGTGGATGTTATAAAGGTGAGCAGCGCAGCCACTCCAGCAGCCTCTTTTCAGATATCTATTCATAGTGCAAAGTTTCAGACCTTCTTCGTCTAGTCCAGCTTATTGCGTCCTACCACATAAGTCACTAGACCAGACTCACAGCAAGTAGCTCGGCGAGGAACCTCACTTATGCGTGGTTCTGCTTTCCCAAACGGCTCTCCCTGTAGGACAAACGCCACCAAACATTGCCCAGGTGAGAGCCGGTCGAGCGCATTCAGAGTCTGGGCTAGGGCAGCAAACATGTATGAAGCCGCCGGCTCCCATAGTGTGATAAATGACCTTCATGTTCTTCAAGTGGTCTTTTACGACAGTTCGCCTCATTCATCCTTTCTTCTAGCGATAGCTGTCCTTTGCGTATGATCGTCTATGACACTGGCTCAAGCCAATCCAGCTCGGCCATCTGCCCCGTATCACATCCTGAAATCGAGTATTTCTCTGGGTTTCGTCAAATGATTTATCTGCCGTGTTGGTCTGAATACTTCAAGTATCACAAGGAAATCGCACATTACATTTTCACTCATGGGTATGCCATATTCGGCACTTCGCACGTGTGCCTCACGATGGCAAACGTCTCAATATCCTTGCGAGTCTTTGTCTCCTCTCTGTTTCCTCTCAGTCCGTTAGCGACGATAGAAGGGCGTAGTGAGGGAGCCCCTTGCTCTGAAGACTCGTCTCGTCGATCGACATTCAATAAAGGCTGTTTTGAAGGCGCGACCATTATTCAAGACTCATGGCTGCATAGATATCCGCCACTTTCCTTTCTTCCGGTTACCAGGCCTGGAGCATAGTCAAACCGAGAGCTGTAAAGCAGCCTCTGCCATGTGGGCACCAAACCAACGGGTCTTTCATGCATGCTTTGGGCGGAGTTCTCGAGCAGGATGCAGACTGATGGTCTCAGCCATCGGGCCCGAGTCCTCCGCTCCAGCCCCATCGTCAGCCCGGCCCGGCGTGTACATGGGGATGTTTGCCGCAATAAGTATTGCCATTGGGCCTTCACACGTTACATTCCCCCTCTTCCTTCGAGCTGTCCTCTCTTCTGGTATCATTCCCGTTACCATTGCTTGGTCCCAATCTCAATCCTGTGATTGAACAACATAGCTTCCTGATAAAATGCGGTATTTCACGTTGGGAGTAGCCGCTCTAGCGGGCCTGGTGAATGCTCAGGTGCTGCCGACAATAACTATCTCGCCTTTCCTCACCTCTACAACATCTAGCTCCACGACTACTGGGACACCAGTGGTAGCCTCCGCAACGGCTTCTGCTGCCGCTGCGCAAACGCATACTATTGCCGTCGGAGCGGTAAGTGACTGGATCCCCCCAAAAACCGCTTCAAATTAGCTGAGCTCTTGGTAGTCTGGATTTGCATTTTCACCCGCGAAGACGGAAGCCAACGTCGGCGATACCATCGAATGGATCTTCTATCCCGATGCTCACTCGGTTATCCGCGCCGAGTTTGGATTTCCTTGCACGCCATACGAGTACATCGACATTGGCCGCGAGGGCTTCTACAGCGGAAACCAGTCGGTCAAGGCCATCACGAATGATGTCAGTATGGCCCATGGGAATCAGGCGGGCCATGGGGAATAACATGATTCAGATGCCACGATACAGAGTTCGCGTCAATGACACCCTTCCGATCTTCTACTACTGTGGTGCTCCCGGTTCATGCTACAAAGAGAAGATGATCGGTGTAATCAACGAGGTAAGGCACACCAACAAGAATGCCAAAAGATTCATGTATACTCACAAAGTCTCAGAACTCGACCCAGACCCTCGACAAACAGCTCGAGGCAGCCCTCCCACTGACCACCCAGATTCTCCCTGGTGAACCCTTCCCGACTGAATCAGATGCACCAAAGGCAACCAGCGGCGGCTCCAACAACGGCGCCGTCATCAACAACTACCATCACAGTGTGAGCGGCGGCCAAATTGCCGGTATCGTGATCGGCTCTCTAGCTTTCCTCTTCCTGGGAGGCCTATTGGTATACCTGTGCGGCCGACGAGGCGGCATCAACCGCGCGTATAAGAGAACCTCTACCGCATACCAGGCACCTCCCACTGCTCCATCCCAGCCCGTGGTGGCGGAGCTCAATTACTCGATGCAAACCAAGAGTCCATCAACTCAAGGATGGAGAAATAGTCACTACAGCAACTTCAGCGGCCCCTACCGTGACCACGCCACTCCGACGGCCCAATTCTCCCCTCAACTGAGCCCCCAACCTACCGGATTCACACATCCTGTTAACGGCATGCAGACCTACTAGTAAGTATCTTCGAATCTTGCTGCTGTTTTAGTATTTTGCTAACCTAGGCCGGTCCCAGCGATCACCGGATCTCGTCTGTAGCTCCTAGCGTCGTCGTCGAAGCCCCAGATAACCAGGCGACGACTCCTGCTGCGGCCCCTCCTGCACCCGCCGCTGCGCCAGTCGAGCTGCCAACGGCGAGGGACTTGGGTAATTCTCCGCCACCCAGATACATGCCACGTTTCTCATTCGCAGAGCAGGAAAGTGAATATCGACCATCGATAAAGGAGTGATCTGTTGAAGAGGAGGAGGGCCGGGAAGTTAGTAGAAAATGATGAGCGGCAAGCTCGCTCAGTAAGGCGTTGGTGGTATGATGACTTGATATATGTCTTGTATTCGTTGGAAGGATGAGCCCTGGCCCTTGTTTAATCAGCCAGCTCTCCATTTTCGTACTAAATGGTTTGAATAGCGTCTATCGAGGATGAACGATATCCAGACCACGAACCCAATGTTTCTTCCCAAATTTTAGTCTTCTCAGTCCACAGTCGTTGTGATTCAAGTGACGAAGTCCCAACGGGTCTGGAAGCGCAGTTCGACAACGTATAAAGAAGCCGAGGTTGCCAAGTTGTGGCTTATTGACATGGCGATTCAGATAGCTCAAGCCAGAGGGGCCAGGGACTTAGATCAAGCCATTTCATTGGTGGCAGAGCCCACTTGGTCTCTTCGGGAAAAACTTGGGGAAAAGGAAAAATTCCCTTCAAAGTTTCATACTTCCCAGGCTTTCAACCCAAGTCCTCGATTGCACTCAGAAACTTTCCACTTTCATTGTATAATTTGTTTCGAGCATACTCTCGCGCCTTTGTTCCGAGCAAAGCTGTGGCGCCAAGCTGGCAAACCGCCCACCACAACAAACATTGCTTCCGCCTGGGCGCCCGGAAACTCGAGCAAACACGGAGGAAACAGGGAGACACGCAAGATAGACCCGCAACCGAGCGGTTTCCGGCGCAACCCAGGACCCGTAACTCAGTTGGTTAGAGTGTGATGCTTATACTTCGTGATCACCACGGCAGTATGCTTCTTCAAAGTCGAGAGTTCGAACCTCTCCGGGTTCAAATCTTTTGATTGTTTTGCCTTTATTCAAGACATACTCACTCCTTGTGAATGGGCTATTTACTTTTGGCCTCAAGGAATCGTGCCGGCAAGTTTTGGGCCTGTTTTGCTGCGTTGAAGGTGTAGCGATGCACCATGCAACACTGTAAGCCGCTAAGGTACTGTCGCTTGAGGAAGCCAACTACCAGTGACGCATAACATCACCACATACGATCTGATCATTTCAATACGATTCTGCTTTGAAACAGGATTAATGCCGTTTATATGCGACCCTCATTGGTAATTCGTGGCAGCGTTCCATAATCCGACACAGTCATCATTTTGACTTGTCGATGCCGAAATGCTGTAGACCACCCTGTCAAATTGCAGGCTCCCGGTCTATGTCGATCCAGCTTTTAAGACTATTTGTGTTCACAATTTCACTTCGATCGAGCCGTGATAATGCGCGAGTGAAGTCCCGCATGTACTCCACCGCACGACGGGCAGGCCGTTCATGGGCTTCGAACGGACAGTTGAGTAGTGTTACAGCCACATCGCGGACCTTGTACGCCTGGAGAGATGTGATTAGAGACTGAACTTTGCACAAGCTGGGATCGAGCGTTGAGCATACCAGGTAGAGTCCGTTTGGTTCCAGGTGAACATATGGAATACTGTGTAGCAAGTGCAGCATTTGACGGCAAATGTCCTCACGCTCAGCCCAGTTCGCTTTCAGGGCGGTCGACACTTCCTCACGTCCAGTTGTCGAGGGGTTGGCAATCGCGCTCTCTTGAGTGACACCGTCGACTTGTTCCAGCAGCAAGCTCTGCAACCACAGATGCGTGACATGGATGTTAGCTCTCATGATCTCGGCTTGGCCCTGAAGCACTTGTGAGTAGGATCCGGCCTCCGGGACACGGCTATAGTCTGCCGGGCTGCCATAGCTCGACGCGGCAGCTGTAGCTCTTTCATCGTCAAACCGCGGCGTGCTGGGGGCCGCATCGGTACCCCTATCGTTGGAAGCCCATTGCCGCATGGGGCCCGGAACGTCGTCGAGCATGTATCTCATCTCTTGGAGAAGATCGCGCATGCGTGCGAGACGGGCGGCGGGGGTGCGACGGAGCTCACATTCGCAGCCCAATGTGGCTATGGCTTCTTGGAGACCCTTGTGGAACACCCTGGAATGGATGATGAAGCCGCTGGTGAGTGTGAACATGGCTCGGGGTTCCTGCGCATGTGCGGATGGTGTTCCATGCGATGCCATTGGAGAGACGGGGTCTAGGATCCTGTCTCTGAAGATATGTTCATCGTCGATGTCGAGGGGCATGAGAGCGTCGTAGTTGACCTCGCGTAGCTCACCAGGCCCAAAGTATGTCAGCCGTTCCCAGCGTCCTGCTTGAACTCTGGTATGCCTGGTAGTTGTTAGTCTTTCATGATCGAAGTGGTATACTAGGGATGAGACTTTGGCTTACGCGTAGCCATAGAAGAGCATCCAGAAGGCCTTCTTCCGTAACTGGGTCTCGATGCAGTTGAGACCCTCATACTCGGAAATGCGATGCAGCCCAAGAAGTCGCGAAACTTGCAAGTACTCTACATCGAACATCCGGCTCCGGTTGACCTGACCTGTTTGAAAGCAGGCGACGGAAAGGACATAACACACCGCCCATTTCCGATGGTTAATGTGGTCCCAGTAGTTTGCAGTCCGTTGTCGAGTACATATCTCCGCGCAACAATTGATCATTGCAGTTCTATTTTCAAAGCGCATCGCAGCTTCGGGGTCAACTGCCCTATAGTCGCGGAAGCGCGACGGCAACAACCCGACAGTGAGCGCGGCTAAACTCATGAGGACAGCAAAGAAGTCCGGATCGGTTATGTCCCGATTTGTGGCCAGATCATGACGGAAACTGGGCCGATGGACCACAGGCACCAGCGGGTAGACCAAGTCGAGGTAATCTGCCATCAAGATGTGTATAAGTGCTCTTGAGCACAACTCATCTGTTGGGAACCCAACGCCGGCTACCGAGGGCGATTCCGTCTGGGCCGGAGCTGCGGCACGCGGAGATGGGCCATGAAGGGCAGAATGAGGCGGGCCATAGGGAGACCTGGCTTGTGAAGGTCTTGATGGAGGAGTCTGACCTGACAAGACGAGGACAGGCTCAATGCTCACTGCAGGCTCAGGAACTTGTTGAGATTGCTGCTCGACAGTCTCTACATGATGAGTCTCCGCTTCATTGGGAAGCTCACTCTCGCTCCTATCAGACATTGATGGGAGACGTTTCCTGCCAAGCCAGTAAGTGAGTGACTCTGGGTAGAATTTACACACAGAACGAAAACCCCCTGCTACCCCGGATCTTCATACCTTCGTTTAGGTCCCCGCGGCCTCGTGGGCACCAGGAAGCTGCATGGTATGCCGAGTCTGCAGCAATCACGACACTGCGTCGGAGACGGCCCCTCAGCATGGGGCGAAGACCCGTCAAAGTGGCATTTTCTTCTCCGAGCACGACAAGCGTCGCACGCTCTGCTGGCGATGCTCGATCTCACCGCTGCCGTCGACGATAAGCCTGTAGTCTCATCTGGCGTTTTGCTAGCAGCCCTTCGAATCGCAGTTGGCGAGACGCTGACGGACGCAGCCTGAGTGCTCGAGCGACGGCGCATGCTGGTGGAATTCGGACCGATAGGGATGGTGGTGCCGCACCCATCCTGCCGGGATTTCTGGAAAACGTGGAGAGGGAAAATGAGGGGGAGAAATGTGAAGAATGCGGAGAAATGGGATGAAAGGGGGTTGACATGCTCCCTTTTAGTGTTATTTGATCCCAACGCTAATTCATGGTAAATGGGACTTGATGGAGGCGCGTTGTGGCCCCGGCCGATAAATCCCGGGGTCCCCAGCGGATTTCCCACTCTCGAATGGGGTTAGACATGGGATGGCAGCTTTGCGCGTGATCGGAAGATGTTTTACCACCAGGGATGACTCGGGCAACGCCCGAAGTTTGTTGATGGGTGATCGCGGCGAAAGGCCGACAATTTCTGAGATTAGATCCGTCAAGTGGGATGGCACGACTCAAATTAGCATACGGAGGTTCTCGAGTGGAACCTTTAACGTGAAGTTCTACGAAGAAATCTGCAAATCACCAAGATTACTCAGAAGGCACATCCCCCTGCCAACTGCTTTGATCGTCACCAGTTATATTCAACATTGAAATGTGCTCTCATGAGCAGAACATGCGTTATGAGGCGTTTCTAATCATCGTCTCAACGCACGATGTCTAATATCCCATCCACTTATGTACAAATGCATATCTAAGTCTATTCGTCTACGCCCGCAATCCCTTCCATGTCCTCGACTTCTCCACCTTGACTGTCTTCTCGAGGAACTCTCCACGGCTGCTGGTTCCCACGAGAATGCCGTAAGAGCCGGCATCGCTACGCCAACAGTCTTCCATCTCGCTCCAGTAGCTCGTCGCACGCAGAACATCCAAAGAGATCTCTGCCGTGGCGCTGGCTCCAGCTTCCAGCGTGACCTTTGCGAAGCCCTTCATCTCCTTCTTGGGACGGGTTATGGTATCGCGAGTTGTGCTGGTCAATGGCGTGCGCGCCGCCGGTGTGACGTAGACCTGAACGACCTCAGAGCCGGCACGAGAGCCAGTGTTGGCAACCTTGACGCGGACGGTGAGGCTATCCGCCTCTTGAACCGTGATTGTGTTGTTGCCATTGGCGTGGCCATTCGTCTGGGCCGACGCATCAGACACCTCGAGATCGGAAACCTCGAATGTCGTGTAGGAAAGGCCATGTCCGAAGGGGAACAGGGGCTCAATGTCGAGCGTGTCATACCAGCGGTAGCCGACGTAAACATCTTCACTATACAAGCAACGGCCATTATCTGAGCGGAAGCTTAGTGCTGCGGGGTTGTCTTGTACTCGGCGCGGCATTGTAAGGGGAAGCTTTCCGGCCTGCGATGTAGCTTGTTAGTAGGGTAACTTCACGCTCTCCGATAGTACCTGAGATAACTTACCGGGTTGACCTCTCCAAAGAGTACATCCGCAATGCCGTTACCAGACTCGTTGCCACCAAACCAAGCATGCAGGACGGCACCGGCCTGGTCGATCCAAGGCATGGAGACCGGCGTACCGCTCTGAACGACAACAGCCGTGTTAGGGTTCGCCGCCAGCACAGCAGCAACAAGCTCGTCGGTGCCAGGAGGCAGAGCCATCGTCGTCCGATCGAATCCTTCAGACTCCCATTCGCCGCTCAGACCGGTGCACACAACGACCTGGTCGACGCTCTTGGCGACCTCCACGGCCTCTTGGATCGCGGTAGCAGGCTCGAGCTTAGGGCAGCCGCTGAAGCGGACGCCGACCTGGCCAAAGTCAACGGTGCCGGAGGCCTTGACCTTGCTGGTGGCCGAGCAGCCGAAGCGCACCAAGACGCGGTAGCTTCGTCCGGCTTCCAGGTGCATAGTGCCCGTCTCCTCGACCGTACCGCAGCCGAGGAAACTGCTGCCCAGGCGCTGGTTCTCCACATTGGAGACGACCAGCTTGCCGTCGATGAAGAGTTCGCCGGTGCCATGAACTGACAGGCCAAAGTCCCACTCTCCTGATCGCTCGGGGACGAGTGTGCCCTCAGTCTCGGCCCACCAGATGGGGTTGAGGTCGGCATTCTCGTAGTCGACGAACCAGATGTTGGCATCGTCGAGGACGCGCTCCTCGAGGGGTGTCCGGCTGTCGGCTGAGCTGGCGGTGTCCTTGGGTGGGGGGTCGTTGTAGATGCGGAGCACGAAACCCCTTTGCTTCCCGTTTGGTGTTTTGAGAGCCTTGCCAAGGAGAGGCAGAGACTGATGACCGTAGGCACCTTGTGAGAAAACGACGTCGCTTGCGAGGGACTTCACGCCCTCCAGAGGAGTGACGGTGTTATAGGCTCTGAGTCCGGCGCTACCACCGCCGCAGTAGGTCGCAATGTTCGCGTTGGGCCCGATGACGGCGATCTTCTTGTTCTTGTCAAAAGGAAGGATGCTTCTCTCATTCTTCAGGAGTACCAAGGACTTAGCGGCTGCTTCGCGCAGGAGCGCAATGTGCTCTGGTGTGTTCGCCTCGGTTTCCGGAGCGCTGGGTGGGATGGAGGTGTTCTCGAGGCCCTGCTTGACCAGCTTCAGGACGTTTCGCACCGCCGAGTCGAGCTCTGATCGCTTGACCTTGTTAGACATGATGGCGTGGGAGAGGGCTCCGGCGCGCCATCTGCTAGGGCCTGGCATCTCGAGGTCGAGGCCTGCCTTGATGGCCTCAGATGTGCTGTAGGTACCGAACCAGTCGCTCATGACCAGTCCGTCCCATTTCCACTCGTCCCGCAGGATATCCTGCAAGATCTTCTTGCTCTCCGCCGCATGGACACCGTTGACCTGGTTGTAGGCGGTCATGATCGCGCGGGGCTTGCCCATCTCAATGGCGATCATGAAGGGAAGCAGGTAGATCTCGCGCATGGCACGGTCGGTCACAATGGCGTTGACAGCCATACGCTCGCTTTCGAGATCGTTGCACACAAAGTGCTTCAGCGTGGCTGACACGCCTGACTCTTGGACTCCATTAACGTAGTTGCCGGCGAGGATGCCAGACAATACCGGATCCTCGGAGTAGGACTCGAAACCACGTCCGCCCAGGGGCCCACGCTGGGTGTTGATTGTAGGGCCAAGCAGGACATGGGCGCCCTTTGCGTGAGCTTCGTCCGACAGTAGGCGGCCGAGCCTTTGGACCAGCTCGACATCGAATGTTGCGCCAATGGCAGTTCCGCACGGAAGGCACGCGGAAGGTGTGCTGTCGAAGAAATGTGTACCGCGAACGCCGTTGGGGCCGTCAGAGAGACGGATCGGCTTGATTCCCAAGCGCTCGACTGTTGCAGTGTGCCACCAGCCAACGCCTTTTTCTAGTTAGAATTGAGCTCGAGTGATAGTTTTTGGTAACTGACCAGCCGTGAGTGAGATCTTCTCCTCCAGCGTGAGCTGTTCAAGAAGTGCTTCGACATCCATGATGAGACGTGTGACAGGAAGCTGGTCTTTGGAAACAGTTCAGACGGCGAAGAGACAGGTAAATTCCAACAACAAGATCCGAAATTCGTCTGAAAAAGAACAGAGTAGACACCAGCAATTGATCAAGGGAGAAACTGAGCCGATCGACGGGCGCTTCTCTTTATTCCGAGAGTCCAGAGCCAACGCGGGGAGCCCCAGGTCTCCAGCATGGTCTCTGTGTCTCCCCTCGACCGCGGGGTTCTGATCCACACGTCGGGCATAAAGAATCGCATTCCGAAGACCATGACGTAGTCACACTTGAATCAGTGAGTATTCTGGGTCTTTACCGTCCACTTTACTGCTTCAGAGTCGCGTGGATGGTGAGCCGACGCGCCGGCAATCTGGTCACGATGGGGAAACGGTTTCGAAGGCGGAGAAATAGAAGAGATGGTCTGAAAGCCGGCCTCAACTGCCACGGCTTAGTGGGGTGAGGCACAGGGCATTGTTTGGTCTAAGCAGCTTCAGCTATGGAAAGGCCAACGTTAGCCAAGACCACATTTCTCCGCCTCAGTGTTAATCCCCTTAGTCTCCTGACTCTTGAAGACCTCAACTCTGACTATTCCCGTCACATCAAAGCATGAACTGACTCAATTCTCCGCCCCCGTGTCCTCCTTTCTCCAGACCAACCTTACGACCTTACGACTACTTCGTAAACCACTTTTACCATTGTTTGTCAAGTGGGTCGTATGGGCCCCCGCGACGGCCTGCATTGGAAGCGTTTTCTCCATGGGGCGTGACACTGGAGAGTTCTGGCCCCTCCCCAATCCCCCATCCGACCCAAATCTGCGTTCCGGACGAACACGCGACGACCGGGGCATCGGGATGCCATGCTCCACCTCCTCGGTTTTTTTTCGTATGCAAATCGCAAGCCAGATTCCGACTTGCTTCCCCTGTTGTCACTTGTGAAGGGAGTATCGATTGTATATAGACCTTGCTTGCTTCCCCCCCGGACTGTGTGATGTGACCCTGCTTCACGGCGCTCGCAGGCTCTAAAGAGTCCAGACAACTTGACGACAACATCTTTGAGAGTTTCTCTTTGTATCCGGAAACTTCTGCCTCTGATCCTTTTGCCAGCCTCTCTTGCGACCCTGATAACCCAACGTCAACATGGGTAAACCTGTCGAGGACCTGGCCGTGATCCCCGGCGATGACCTCCCTTGGTGGAAGCACGCCCACTTGCGGAAGCTCAATTTCATCACCTTGTCTATGGTGTTGTTCTGTGTGTAAACTCGGCTCAACAAACAGTGGCCTGTTGTAGCTAACTTTGACTTTCCAGCTTCTGCCAACGGTTACGATGGATCCATCATGGGCGGTCTCCTCGCCCTTCCTCGATGGAACGCCTTTACGCACAACCCCTCCGGCGCATACCTTGGTTGGATTACAGGTATCTACTGGCTCGGGAACGGTATAGCTTTCCCCATCGCCGCCATGTGCTCCAACCGTTGGGGTCGCAAGCCTGGCATCTATGTCGGATACTTGTTCCTGGTTCTCGGTGTCGTCATGCAAACGGCAGCCCAAAACGAAGCAACCTTCACCTACTCCCGTCTCTTCATCGGTATCGCCGCCTCGTGGCTCGGAAACTCGGCTCCTCTCTTGATCAACGAGATCGCCCACCCGAAGCAACGATCCATCGCCAATGCCCTATTCATGGTCGGCTGGTACTTTGGCGGTACGCTCTGCGGTTGGGTCACTTTTGCCTGCCGTGACATTGCCTCGGACTGGTGCTGGCGTATTCCCGTCGTTCTTCAGATTGTCCTTCCCTTCGTTGCCTTGCCCGGCTTCCTCTTGTCGCCTGAGAGTCCTCGTTGGCTGATTAGTGTTGGACGCGTCGAGGAGGCCACCGAGATTCTGGCTACTCACCATGCAGGTGGTAACAGAAACGATCCCTTGGTAACCTACCAGGTTGTTGAGATCCAGGCCACCATTACCGCAGAAAAGGAGGCTTCTTCCAGCGCTTCGTATATGGATATGATCAAGACACCAGGAAACCGTCATCGCCTCTTTATCTCTGTTACTCTCGGTATCTACGCCCAATGGGCTGGTAATGGCGTGGTGTCATACTATCTCCGTGAGTTTTGACCGATAACATCGCATTCCTTGTCTCGATAGCTAACATCTGCCTAGCTCGTACGATATCCCACCCTTTCGACACCTTTCTATAGGTTGTGTCAATCTGACTTTGCTAACATTTGTCTAGTCATCCTGAACTCGATTGGAGTCACATCAGTCACGAACCAGACCTTGATTTCGGCTTGCCTGAACGTCTGGAACCTGCTGTGGGCAATCGCTGCCGCCACCAGCGTCGACAAGCTGGGTCGCCGTTTCCTGTTCTTGACTTCTGCCAGCGTCATGTTGGTGAGCTTCATCATCATTACTGGCCTCAGTGGTTCTTTCGCCACGACCCAGTCATCGGCCATCGGATCCTCGGTCATCCCATTCTTGTTCATCTTCTTTGCTGGATACGACATCGCCATGTAAGTCTATGTCTTCTGAGCCCCTATAGGGCGATTCCCGAACTCGCAAGAACTGGGCGGTCTTCTCATGAGAACACTCACTTACATGAAACTAGGACCCCCTTCCTCACGGCCTACCCTTGCGAGATTTGGCAGTTCAGCCTTCGATCCCGAGGTCTCACCGTCACCTGGTGCTCAACCGTCATCGCTATCTTCATCAACACCTTTGTGAACCCCATTGCACTGGAGGCTATTCACTGGAAGTACTACATTGTATTCATCGTGATGCTTGCTCTTCTTTGGATCACCGTCTTCTTCGCCTACCCCGAGACTCGCGGACACACCCTGGAGCAAATGGCTGTCATCTTTGACGGTGATGATGCTGCGGTTCCTCCTGCGGCTGCTGTGAGCGAGAAGACTGAGGCTTTGGTTACTCATGGAGATGATGAGGATAAGAGACAGTACCAGAGCGATGCTGAACACAGAGTTTGAGGCATTGCAATTCGCAAAGCAAGGAGCGTTGAAGCTTCCAAGTAAATACCCATTTCGCATTAAGTATCGTAAAAGTACTATGTAATGCATCTAATCCAAAGATTCACCGTCACATTTGTCTCTCATAGGCAGCTTTGCAATGTGTTTTGGTGTTACCCCCTGATATTGGTTCATGGTGTAAGTTCGATATTGGGTTCCCGGCCCATATTCTGATCTTCACCCTGTTGACGAGTAGAGAGCAAGTAGCTGTGACAGTCAGAAAGAATGGAGAACACACAAGCTATTGTGCCAATTATGGTAAGTGACTATTGGCTTGGATGCAGCGTGACAAGCGACGCTATTGGTGCATCATGCATGTTACCTGCATGACTAGGATTCACGACAATCAGCTAGGCCCTCAAAGTCAGGCACCCGGCCCAAGCGGCATGACCGTTGATTATCGTACGTGTTCCACGTACTTTCCAGGGCTACTCTGCTACTCTTTGACAGAAAGCTCTACGACGAACACGATATCTAAAGCATACTTACAGGTCACCAAAAATTCCAGGTAGCAGATTCACCACGCAGCATGTCAATCCGGCTCATCGAAACGGAGACTCTCCAGTTGAGGCTCTTTACCGCCAATTTAGCACCAGCTTATGCTATTCTCTCGCATACATGGGTCGACAATGAGGAGGTCTGCTTCCAGGAATTCACGCAAATTAGTGAAACACCAGATCACAAGGCATCGCGAAAGTCTGGCTATAAGAAGATCGTGGCAACATGCCTCGAAGCCAAGGCCAACGGCATATCGTACGCATGGATCGACACCTGCTGCATCGACAAGACGAGTAGCGCCGAGCTCGGCGAGGCGATTAACTCCATGTTCGGCTGGTATCGTGATGCCAAGGTATGCTACGCCTTTCTCTCAGACTGGCCAGCCGCCGGTGATAGGGGGGAGTCTACCGACGATGCTTTGAAGGACTGCAGATGGTTCACCCGCGGCTGGTGTCTCCAGGAACTCATTGCGCCCAAGGTCCTCCGATTCTACGACGAGAAGTGGAACTTCCGAGGACACAGGTCAGACTTCAGGGGCGCCATCTCTAGAATCACGCGGGTGGATGCGGACGTGCTAGGGGACTGCACACTACTTGATTCGAAGCCGGTGGCGCGCAGGATGTCATGGGCATCGAGACGGACTACAACGATGGTTGAGGATATTGCCTACTGTCTCATTGGAATCTTCGACGTCAACATGCCGATGCTATATGGCGAGGGCGACAGGGCATTCCTTCGCCTGCAGGAGGAGATCATCCGGCGTTCAAACGACATTTCCATATTCTGCCACGCGCCGCTGCGCCCTGAATCAACGACAAAATTTGATGGGGAAGAAAAGATGCCGCAAGATCTTTCAGACCTTTATTTCTGCGGCATGCTCGCCAAGTCTCCAGAAGCATTTTCTGAATCCAACAGTATCTCGCGTATTAGAGGGACGTTGCTGGACGGACGAGAGTTTTCCATGACCAATCGCGGGATCCGATTCGGCCGGCGACGGTTTTTCGAGGTTCCGGAGATTAACTGCCTGGGAATGAAGCTTGACTACGCTGCTTCGCCAAATTGCAAGAACCCAGAGATATTCAATGTTTTTCTTCGAAAAGTCGGCCCGAATCTATTCTCAAGGGTACTGCCTATGGCAGCAAAGTATCGATACACGCGTGTGGAATTGGATGACGCCCGGAGAACTATGTTGGTAGAGGAAGACGCCTGCGTGATCTCCAGAGTGACACCGTCTATTCAGAGGCAGATACAAGAGTCCGTCACCAGGAGAGTAGATGTATATCTACAGATATTACAGAATCACGAAGAGCATCTCAAGTTGCAAGTTGTGGAGGGCTTTCCCCGAGATCGTTGGGATAGTCTGAACAGCAAGTTTCTAATTCCTAAGGACGCGCCATATAGAACGAGCCTGCGGCTTAGAATAACTTTGGGGCAAAACCACACTGATGTGTATCTCACCTGTGGTATTCCAAGCACCGGTGGAAGGGACGGACGCAAACAGCCATGGACTGCATTCTCTACCTCTGATTGTAGACAGTTGTGGTACAGCGGCAACTGGGGAGATGATGATGAAAGTCAGATGGCACAAGAAACTGCCCAGTACCTTACAAGCAACATGAAGGCATTACTCAAGGCTCGGATCTGTCAGGAACCTAGGAACATATGGGGTTCCATGCCATTCACGTGCAAAATAGACGCTTATCTGGCGCTGTAATTTGGCCGAGGGCAAGTTCGACTTCTTCTTGCATCTTCCACCTGGGAAGTAGCGAAGTTGACTTGCCGGATGAATATCTGCTGTCTGATAGCATCGATAAAACAGTCTTCCTGGCATCTGATTCATAGTCCACATGAAGTCCGGCTACTTGCATGCATCACTACTCACTTTTAACTTGCAAGATGTACTATTTCAACTATCTCAAGCCCTCTGTCTTTGCGACAGCCGTTTTAGCAGCTTGCTGCAGAGCATCCCCAAGGTCCTTGGGCATACTGAGGAACGGTGAGTGGCTGGCCGAAAGGCTAGCTGTGAAGGAGCTGGGAGAAAATTGAGAAGCCATCATGATCTGCAGATCAAGCGGTATGGCTTGGTCATCCTCAGCAAAGATGTAACCCATCTCAAATCCTTCGTTCCAAGGTTCGAAGCCGGATTTGTCTTGAAAGGTCTTGAAAGGCTGAGGACGCAGGGCCTCGACGGCCTTGGCGGCGAGAGCGGGCTCGACATCGGCATAGAATACGGAGATCGGATCGAGAGGTGAGATAAAGCCGTCCTAAGAGGTAAGAGTGATGAGCTATTGTCTCTGACTTTCCGGAACCTGCATATGAATGTTGTCCCACCTTGACGTCCCACCAGGGCACTGAGCCCGCGCCGTCGGAAAGAGCTGACCCGGCACCGATGGCAAAAGAGGTCATGTACACGACCATGAGAACGCCGCCAGTCTTGCTCTGCGCAACTCGATCTTTGTAGTTAAAACCCTCTACCGCGTTCGCAGTAGGGACACCGCCATAGGAATGCGCAACCACGACAACCTCACGCCCGTCGTCGATGAGCTTCTGCAGCTCGGTGCGGACGGCTGCCGTGTCTTGTTCCAATCCCACGTTCACATCGGTGCTACCCACGCCGGCCAGTGCAACCGTTTCAGTACTGAACCCCCGGCCGTGGAGGTCATCGCGCAAAAGGTCGAAAGACCATGGACGATGCCAGGCGCCCGGTACCAGAAGGAAAGTGGGAGGCGTACGAGAACTCATTGCGTCGATGATAGTTGCGGTCTCGAGGAGTTGATTCAGATTGAAGAGGGTCCCGCTGAAGTTGATGGTGAGTGAGAGTGAGAACTGAGATGAGGAAGCTTGATCGGGTAAGAGACCTTGATCAGGGGAACACCATGTTACTTATTATTTCATTGAGCCGGGAATCGAATTTGGAAGGTGTTCATCCCCTGTTTCTTTAGCAGGCGGGATATGAACCAGAGACCGGCGATATTGGGGCGCATTTACGTCCAGATGGGCCCTATTTCGTGGGAATTGAGCTAGGGCACCTGGTAAGTCTTAGCTTGGTTGTGTTGGTTGGTGACTTGGAGTGGATATCGCACGACTCAAGCAAGCTACAGTGACATTTCCAGGGCAGCCCAAAACATGCCATTTTTTCGCACTACGGCCGACTCTTAGGGCCCTTGTCACAATTCCCTTCAAGTCCAATTGGTGATACTTGACGAGTAAGACGAATGCCAACCAGTCGTTATGTGGACCGGTGGGTTGATGTTCCAACGGATAGTGTAATAGGTAATCGGTGGTCCCAGGTTATGCCCGGATCGTGGAGAAATCAATCTCGATTTTGTACCTGGCGGCCCCAGTTTCCGGGCGCAAGAACCAGGGCCAAGAGCCTAGTTCTGTTGCATCTTACTGTTATGAATCGAAACGAGTTATTGGCCAGCATGGAACGGCAAGTCTCGGTTTCCGGCTGGTCACACATAAACATGGCCATTGTCTGGCTCAGGCGCCCAAAAAAAAAGTCTGAAAGTCTAACCTGACAGATGTCTGTTCTTTCTTTTCCAGCCCAAGCACGGAATTCTTCAAAGAGCCGAAGGCAAGATGGCCTCTCTGCCAGTTCCGGATGGCATAGATCTCAGCGAGTCCAGAGTTGCCAGCATCATTGGTGCTCTCAGTTGCACGTGGGCACTCGCAGCCATCGCAGTTGCGCTTCGGTTTCTTGCCCGACGAATACAATCCAATAAGCTTTGGTTGGAGGACTGGCTGATCACTGTTTCCTTGGTATGCAACGAAAATCCGTGCCTTTTGGAATTTTTAATTTCTATTTTGCGATAAAAGTGCACGAAGGCAACGCATGTTCGCTGACAATTCAATTTTAGACCGCAGCAGCTGTGCACGTTTTTATAAGCATAGGATACAGTAAGTCAACTCCATGAAGTTTGAAATCACAGTCCAATCATTAAGAGCCTGAATTCTACTACATTCCAATACTGGTAATCTGATTCTTTTGTAGTGATACCGAATGGTACCGGTAAACACATTTGGGTAGCGCCAACCTCGGCGACAAGAGCGTGGGCAATTGGTCTTTTCGTATCAGAAGTAGCGTACACAGTGACGTTATCAACAGTCAAGTGGTCGACATTGGCGCTCTACTGGCGAATATTCAATGCCCGTAAAAGCATCAGGTATTACATCTGGGCTATGGCCGGCATCGTCTTAGCTTGGTTCATTGCTGTTGTATGTTGAAAGACCTCGACTCCGAATGCAGTCTAGGTGTTTGAAGATCTCTGGGAACTTCACTAACAAAGCTCGCAGATTCTCGTTACGATCTTCCAATGTCTCCCTGTTCATGCCTTTTGGGCACGCTACGACACAGTCAACCCCCTGTCGTCTGATCAGTACACATGCGGTGTTGATGTCAAGATGTTCTTCAAGGGAAACTCTATTCCCAATATTATAACGGATGCACTAGTTGTATTGTTACCTATCCCCTATGTGTGGAAGCTACAGCTGCACAAAGCACAGAAGTTCGCCCTTGCAGGTATTTTTGCGCTCGGCACTTTGTGAGTAAATTAGCAGTCTGCAAAATCTTCAGGAGAAACAACAGCTGCTGACGAATTTGAACAGCGTTACTGTCGTCTCCATGGCCCGGTTAAATGTGATTCTTTCAGTTGACCTCACGTCACCTGACATTACTTGGAATTTCATCGACACCATTATCTGGACTAATGTCGAAGCTAACACAGCTATCATCTGCGGTAGGTCCTCTCGCCTCACAGTCAGCCCAAAAAACTTTACAATGGGATTCAGCTAATACATAATTTGTCATGAACTAGCCTGTCTCCCATGCCTGAAACCGATCCTCAACCTCGCGCTGAATGGCAGACTGAAATCTTCGATCAGACGAAGTGGCCAGAACTCTGGCGGACAATACATACTCAATGACCGTACGAAGCCCAGCACTACAAATGGAAGCAGTTACCTAGGAGGCTCTGGTACTGGGGCGATGCGGAAAGGGGTTGGCGGCGGCGGTGCCGAGGACGAGCGCCCCTTTACTCGACTGAGTGAACGTGACTCTGAGCCAAGTATCGATATCGCCAATGATGACGGTGGCAGTGGACATGGAAGTTTGAGCAAAGCGGGAGTAACGATAAATACTCAAGGTGCGAGCGGGAAGCCAGCTTCATAATTATCGTCACATTCAGCTTCAGTTGAAATTTTTAGTAAAGATTTGCATGGCAAGCCTGTTTCCTGAGAGAAATGCTACTACGTGTAAGACGAGTTGCTCAATCAATGTCTCACAACGTATGTCCAACGAACTTCATTTGGTCTGGTGGGTTCGATGTCATCCCCATACCAGATGGATACAGGGTATTGGTCATGATCCTTGCTCTGATGTGAGCCCCAGTAGGAGGACCCAATCGAAGTTATCGAACGACAAAAATGGGGCGATAATGTTCCAGGCATGTCTGTTGGTTTGCATGCTGGACATTATTCCCCTCACTTCAACATCCCTTGCGTTGAGCGAGATATCCTGAACAGACTCTATGTCTGAACCCTTTCCCACAACCCACAACTCACAATATGGCAGAAGGGCGCGTCGGCGAGGCAGCCGCTGTGGAAGCGACCCCTGAAGTTCCCCCGACAACTGAAAATGCCGGAAATGCTACTCAACCAATAGCACCGGTATCACCGGCTGCTGTCGCATCGTCACCGGCCGCGCCAGTGTCACCAGCTGCAGCGATTGTGGCTGAAGAAGATCCAGACCCATCCACTGATGGATACGAGACTGGCAGCGACGGCAGTTCCAATGCCTCGACTTCACTGTCTTCGAGCGTTCGTGACTATGAATGGGAGAATAAGCGTCGCTACCACAAATTCAAGCAAGGCCGATACCTGTGTCCAAACGATGAGCCTGAGCAGGATCGCGAGGACATGAAGCACGCTTTGGTGGTTCACATATGCGACGGAGATCTACACAGTGCGCCTCTAGATAATCCGCAAAAAATTCTTGATATTGGTACTGGTACTGGCATTTGGGCGATCGATAGTACGTGAAGAGACTTCTCTACTGTATACAGAACCGCATTACCTGACTAGATGAAAGTGGGCGACAACTATCCAGAAGCAGATATCGACGGGATCGACCTGAGCCCTATCCAACCCGGCTTTGTACCACCGAATGTCAGGTTCCTGGTCGACGATGCGGAGGCAGACTGGCTGTATCCGGACAACTCAGTTGATTTAATTCACCTGCGGCACATGGCTCCTTTCATCAAAGACTGGCCTAGGCTTCTGCGTCAGGCATATAGGTTAGTAACCATCCGTCATAGAGACAAGTTATTACAAGAAATTGTGCTCATAATAGCAGGGTACTAAAGCCGGGCGGGTGGATCGAGCTGCAAGAGCTGAGATGGAGATTCGCTTGCGACGATGAC